ATATATATATGTGGACCAATCTGAAGTCACCTGCAGGTCACATCCAGCCCATGGGCCGCCAGTTGCCTATCCCTGATATAGCATCTGAAGAGTTGAGAAAAATGATGCAAAGCCAGAGTTTTTAGAGCTAAAAAAATAAATAAAACAAACAGCAGCAGTTTGACAGAAAAATACTTTATTGTTTATCAAAATACTGTCTTACAATCACTTTTAAAGCATTTTAATTTCAGATAAGATTCTGTTTTTTGTTGTTGTTGTTCTGAAGTACAGATTACCAGAGGCACAAAGTGAGGAAGAGGAGGCAGAAAAGGAGGGTGTGATGCACAAAACACTCCGCAGGAAAAAAAAGTAACGTTTTTGGTCATCGTGCCTACAAAATAAAAACAAATCCCAACTTTTTAAACGCCTCGTTCCAGCGCACCGATTGGAAAACTTCCCTTTTCAAGAGCCACAAACATTCTGAACATGGTGCGGAGGTTTTTATTCAAACCAGGAGTTTTACGTCACACGAGCTGCAGCGGCTACAGAAAGCTGAACGTGTCTCACTCCTCAGATCGACTTTCCTAACAGCAGTGGTTAAAACTGGATCACACAAGCAGCAGGTAAAAGATCAAAAAATATTAAGAGGTGTTTTTTTTTTCCTTTAAGGCTAATCATGAACAGACCCAAACAAGAAAGCTGACTGGTTTTAGTCTGATTAATGATCTAGAAGCTCAAAAATCCAATAATTCAATCAGAGCTCCTCCAGTGTAAACGGCAACCTTCCATCCAAAACTGGAGGCCAAACTACTATTTTCTACACCGACTCTACTTCCTGCGCTACTTTCAGGTCAGAAAATACGTCTGAAAACCTAAAATAGTCTGAGGCACAACTGGCTGCTGGTTTACAACAGAAAGGTGCGTGGTCTTTGGACTGAACAGAAACAAACGGGCTGAGGGGAGGAGTTAAATACAAATCTTAATTTGTAACGAGGGGGAAGTGTCGGCGCTGTAAACAATGGGTCGGATTGGAGCAGTTTGTAGCAGTGGTTTTGTTTCTGTTGGCCGGGGTTTCAGACGGTCAGGTGGTAGGGGCTGCCGGGGATGTGGTCGTCACCCCATTTGACCACCAGGATGTACTCTCCCTTCTCTTTCAGCTGGTAGCTGACGTTGTACACGCGGTTGCCCAGATGTTTCACCAGGATCTCCTCACAGGGGACTTTGGGACCGTCGACGCCGACCAGGAGCATGTTCCGCCCTGCAGGACGGGACCAGAAGAGGCCACGGTTAATGTTTTTATTCTTTTGCCCACTCTGGTATGAAAACGTTCAGCTCTGAGTGTGTCCACTCAGCTCTTCATCCTCCCTCTTTTAAAACTTCGAATCTAATCAGAAAATTCAAAAGATCCTCATCCTAAACTATAAAAACTTTTATCCTGAACTATATCAAACAGTGTAGTCTAAAGGAGTTTACTCTGAAATGTGGGCATGAACTTGATGTAAACAAAAGACCTGAGCAGATTCAAACCCTTTGACAGACCAACATAAGGCTGCTCAGACTGAAGGTAAACAAATATGGACGAATCAGACATTTAAGTGGAAATATAAACTGTGAACCTGAAGCTAAATGTTGAAGAGAAAGAACACATTGCTGATGTATGGAGCTAACTTGGGGCCAAAATGTTTAAAACAAACAAAACAAAAAATAAATTAAAAAAAAAAACACTGGAAAAAAATAAGTTTTGGAGGGGGAAAAAAGATTAACTGAAAAGAAAAAGTACTGAAACTGGAAAAAGGGAATTGAAACCTTAAAGAAATGAAAAAAATAAAGAATAGGAACTAAAAAAATTGACATTAAAAACAAAAAAGAAACTGAAAAAAAATATTTGAAACAAACAAAAAAGATTTGAAACTCAAAAAAAGATTTGAAACAATAAAATTGAAAGTGAAAATAACAGAGCATAAAGTGAAAAAAAAAACAGAACCTAAA